CTGCTATTCTGGATTACCATAATATTTCATGTATTAAGATTTTGGGCGACTCGAAGGTTCGAACGAAAATGAGGTTGTCGCTCTGAGCGACATTGAGGCACTCCATTCGTCCAAACTCTAGGTGTCTTGCAGGCTTGGGCGATGATGTTACTGTGTTCGTAGACTTCCTCTGCATTTACCAATAACATCATTTAGGCCTTTATCCTTGACTCTCCAATTGGGCTTCACTCTTTGAACTATTCAATTTGAGCTGTACTTTTAGTGTATCAACAAATGCATTCAATTATGTTAAATTTCACATAGAGATATAGTGACTTACTTAAGTAGAATTAAACTTGCTAGAGAAAAGTTTTCAGTCATCTGAAAAGTTCGATCGAATACACATGTGAATTATTATTCAAGACTTTGTATATAAATCATGTGGGAGAATTAAGCCAAAATCGTGAAAAATAACAGTATTAACTTTTTAGTTAAGTGTACCTTAGCTTTAGTCTAGAAAATAAAACAAAAATCACTTTCCCTGTTAATTTTTGCTTCGATTCAAATAAATAGTAGGATTAATAAACGTTAATAGTTGATAATATGTCCTTGTGGATCGATAATCTGGACTCCTTAGGTCCACTTTACTATCAGTTTCGTGATATCGTACTCTTGCAATTTATACTTGAACAAGTTTTTGGTATTGTTATCGGAGATTGTAGTTATTTTTATTCATTTTAGTTAATTATATTTTTATTGCTCTCCAAGGTTCCTTCTATCCAGTTCATGACACGGTCGAGCCCTTCGTACTTAGTTGTTGTTGATTTAGAGATTGAACGCACATTCAATCACAAAGCGAGGAAAAAAAAAACAAAAGAGAGAAAGAACGATAGAGAGTACCAAATCACAATGGATCCATCAACGAAAACAATGAGAATAATTATAATCTAGTGAATCAAATTTTATGATGTAGAGTAGCTAATCAAGATGTTATTATGCTAATCGTCTTGTCGGGAGCTCATGGTCCTTGTGTAACCTAGCAGACATTCTAGCATTGTACCTCTTGCATTTGGATAGCAGAGTTTGTTATTGGAAATTCGACTATCCCAATCGAAAGAATAAATAAAATGAACAGAAAATGAAATGCAGTAGATGAAGCGATGTATGCTAAAGCAAATCTCCTTAAAACAGATTTCGTCCCCCCAATAAAGTGCAAATGAGATTGTGGACGTCTGTCTCCCAAGATACAACGCTTCTTCCAAAGTCGATACTGCACAATATCAACATTGTCGATCGAACCAAAGAATGATCTTACTCGAATGAAATAACCACGAATATATATGAAAGAATTTTTGTAAATAGAATTTGGAGAGGGAATGAATTAAGAAACCAATAGTAATTTAATTGATTCGGTGTGCTGAAAAATGAATCTGGAGATCTCTATTTATAGAGATTGAAGTGTCTCATTGAATAGGTGTGTGACATTTTATTAACTGGTGCACCACTTTGTCTGATTTGTCTTAGCTATTGGATTGTACCATTTCATAATCTAACGGCCTAAATTAAACCATGAAGTGTAGTGCCCATTCATCATACATATTCACCAATTTCTAAATAGTCACCAACCATGCAGATGTCATGCGTACATCCAACTGAACCATCTGTCATGCAGGACGAAGTGACTCCACATGTTACGTGTGTGCCACCTAGGATGTCAACTCATCGAGCCTCCCATTACCATGTCGTTGAACTATGAGTCCATTTTCGAAAACTATAAGGCTCCCCAACTCCTCGCGACGATACGTACGTGCAAAGTACGCCTATAAAGCGCCTAATGTGAACTTTGCGACATGCACGGGTCCTGGCGTGGCTCGGCGCGGTACGGTGTGGTGCGAGTGATAGTGGTGACTAGTTTGCTAGCC